TTGGGCAACCTGGTCTAGTGGGAGGTGTCCCTGCCCATGGCAGCGGGGTTGGCACTCGATGATCTTCAAGGTCCTTTCCAACCTAAACCATTCTGTGGTTCTATGATTCTATTTTTCAACTTCTGAATACTTTGCTATTCAGTTTTTTGTGCTAGGTGTGTCCCGTGTCATGTCGTGTGCCCCCACCCCAGCATTTTTGGTTACATTTTGCTTAGAAGTCTGAACAGTAAGCAGTAAAACTGAGAGAAGCCTGAGCCACTTTGTTTTCGAAGGAAGCCTTCAATGTTCAGGGAGTATTAAGGCCTCTTGCTGTAATACAATGCAATATTTTCTGTTATAACCTTATTAAATGAGTTCCTCTACGGGGGTAAATAGTAAACAATGGTTTTAAGTAGGACCATCTGGGACAGATGGGTATTGCTTTACATTTATTCTTAAATTGTGAACCTTGGGCGCCCAGTATTGAAGGACTATGAGGAGAGGAAGGATCAACAGGAGTATCCGGTATTGCTAGCAGGTAGAGGGGAAGGTGTAAGCAACTTGGGCAGAATTGTTAAAGCTGCCTGTGGAGAGCAGAGATGTTTAAATGGTTAGAGATGCAACCACCTTCTCTTTAAAGGAGGGCAAAGAGGTGGTTATAACAGGTCATGAGATTTTTTTTAAATAATGTAAGAATTCAGTGTTCTTGGTGTACATAATGAACTCAACTTTGGGCAGTTTCCCCAAGTAAGTTTAATAGAGACTGGGCCTAAAACTTGCTGTAACTTATTTTGTTCATAAATAATTAGTCTGCTGAATTTCTGATTCTAGAGGCAGTATCAACATTATAGCTACCTTAAAAACTCTCAGTAATAACACACTGAATATTTTATTTGCATGCTGTATTGCTGAGGAATTTGGTGACTACTGGCAATTTATTGCTACTTACAATATCCTGGTATTCACCAGGTATCATCACCTCCTGGTATGTTTGTTTCAGTGTAACTGAACCTGGTGAATATTTTGTTAGTTTAACTTACTGCCTGGTATGTTTGGTTCATGCACTGTAATCAGGAGATACAGCTCAGTTGGAAAGAGTTTCACAAAAAGCAGTGAACAGCATCAGATTTCTGTGGAGGGCAAGACAGGTGAAAGAATTGGTAGTAATTCACATAAGGTCTTGACTATTGTAAATCCTAACAGGTACCTTAAAGTAGTCGTCTTGCAACTTCTTAAGATGTTTGTTACTTTTTTCATTTGTCCTCTGTTTTCCCATTTTTTCCCGAATTGTTTATTTTGGGCCATTTAGGTGTTTGCATTTTAAAAGAAAATATTTATTTTAACTGTTTTCAAGCCCCCAAATCCCAGTGATATATTCTACATCTTTTTACCATTCCCCAAAATAAAATAAATAATATACAGTGTTTATGTAGTATACTGTATATGTGTTTGCAGTCTTGGCATGCTTTTAAGGAGGATTGCTTTATTGCTAAAGTATTGTTTGTTCCATGTTGGTCTTAGTAGCCTTAGTAGATGTTAGTGTTTGTTTCATTATTTTTTGATTGAAACTTCAGAGTAAAACCAAAGGGGAAGACCCATCTAAATCTTACTGATATACAAGCTCTTCTGCTATTAATCAAGCAGAATAAATACTTTCCTTCTACTAATGTGTGTATTTTGTCTGCACTATCCAAATACCTTAATCATGATAAAAACTAACATCTAAATAGAGTACTGAGTTAATTGTATTTCTGTTTTTGAACATGGGACATGTTTTATTATAATAATCTCTTCATTGGTTTTGACACTACTCTCTTTTGTGAAATGAATAGGTATTAGAATATTTGTATTTCATAGTTATTTTTGTCTTATTGTCTACTCTGATTTGTGCCTTTCAGTGTTGTTCCTCAGAGATTGGCAGTTCTTAGGTTTAAATAGCAACTAGCAACTCTGAAAGCAGCCCAGTCTTTGTCTGAAACTCAAGACATCCATGTATTGTTAGAGAAGATTATCTTTGTGTTGCACAGCAGATAATATTTATGATTACTGATGTTTAGGAAAATACATATGTTGGTGAATGTAACTTCTCCATTTCTCTCTCTCCCCTGTTGAGATTTCCATGGTGCCAAAAGTGGTGATCCTGCTCCAGTGGCGTTTCCAGTTTTTTATTGAAATGCTTTTAACACTATCATGTTCAGTAGCAAAAAGGGTTTATACTAGTTTGAACTAGTTGTGGAAATACAGTTTAGGGTATGAACAGTTTGTTAGCTATTATAGAGTACCTGCTTAAGATCATGCACCGTATCTCCAGTAAATAGGACATTACTGAAGGCTGCTTACTCTTCTTTCATTAAGATTCATTTTTTTTTAATGTCAGGACATGGCTTGCAAATAGATTAGCATGAAGGAAGATAAGCATATGTTGTTTTAATGTCTTGCAATTCCATTTGCTGTGTTAACTGCTTTCTTTTTAGCTTAGGAGTCTCAGTTGCCTTGAACTATGTGAGGTAGATATGTTTCAAGACAAAAAAAAAAAAGTAATTTTCAAACTTGACTTGCTGCTTCCTTCTAGCCTAGAAATGATTACATTGCCAAGGTCTGTCAGTTCAGAAGTCTCATTCATCAAACTTGACTTGCTGCTTCCTTCTAGCCTAGAAATGATTACATTGCCAAGGTCTGTCAGTTCAGAAGCTTTATATTCAGTCTCATTCGTATGAGTTGACCTTGAACATACATACAAACACACAAGACCTTGGTAGATGTCTGTTCAGTTGGGTATGTTATAATGACCAACCTTGCATGTCTACAGTGCTCAGTGAACCCAAAGAGGATGAAGAACCTTGAATTATGGAATCTAAGTATGGTTCAGTAAACTCTTTTAATGAAAAAGCATTCTTCTTCAAGACTTAAATAAAACTGTAGCATTTCGGGCCAAATTTCCTGGCTGTGGTGTCATTGTTGAGTATTGTGTGGTTTCCTAGCCATTGCTACCAAGTTTGTCTGCAGTTTCCCCTTTATTTTTCCTATTTTATACACTTAGTGTTACTAATAGGATATCAGCTTGTCAAAATAGAAGCAGCAAGCAGTGTGTGTGTCCAAACCTGGTTTGAGTATTCAATTTATGGAGGTTGTTTTTGGTTACGTTTTGTCCACTTCCCCTCTCTGTAATCAGCAGCTGCTAATTAGCATTTCCCTTAGTGTTGTAACAAATATTTCTACTGGCTTGTTTAGGATGTAAGGTTTTTGGTTTTAAATCTGCATTAAGCATTATTTTTCAGCCATACCGTATTTTCATACCACTATGATTTTGTGGTATTAAAATCAGTAGTGTTTTATTGGAGAGCAGGTTTTGACTTAGATCAATGAAGGTAAAGTAGAAACAATTTAATCATTGTCTAACTAGAATTTGAGTATGGCTTCCTAGTGAAAATCTTACACGTTTTATTGAGCCTCTTTTGAACATGTATGGTAGTATCGGATATAAAAGTATGCCTGCTGTCACTGAAATTTATTCTGAAAAAGATGGAACATGCTGTTATACCTTTGAATTGTAATTGGGCACATTTTAAGATAAATACACTTAGTATTATTTCTTACATTGCAGATGACTGGAATCCATTTTCTCATCCATATAAGAAGATGGAGTATGGGAAGTGGGAGTTGTTCATGCCACCAGGACAAGATGGTTGTCCTCCTGTGCCTCATGGATCAAAGCTAAAGGTATTGTAACCCTTCTTACTCAATTGTCCTTTTTGTTTTCTTTTAAATAACTTTATCTTCTTTTGCTTCTTCTGAGAAGCAGAATCAGTTTATCTGCTTGTGCAAAGTGACCTCAATGAGTGAAACGTTAATATCTAACTCTTCTCCATGATGCTTAAGAATAGGCATATGTGGCTGAAATGTGGATATAGTGATTAAGACACTGAGATGAAGATCCTATTCAAATCTTGATACCTTGCTAATTTTTGTGATCTTTTTACCTTTATGGCTTTTCAGGTGATCTTTTTGTGTTGCTTTAATGGTACATGTGACTTTGTAAAACTTGTGCTTATACTTTAGGAATTAAGGGTATTGAGCAGTAGGCTTAAGTTAAGTAAGTTAAACTAAATACAGACACAGGGAAAGCTTAGTTGTATTTCATAAGTATCCATGAGCATAAAATCCTTTCTTCCAGAAATTAATGGAAGGTTTCTTTTGAGCTATCAAATGCCACAGTTGTTATGCTTAGTGTAGATATAAAAAATGACAACTATCAGTAGACTTGATTATTTCTAGGTGAATACTGATTGCGGTCAGAGACGTACTTCCAAGAATTTGAATTGTTGTAGTCAGAGCTTGAGTTCCAGAGATACTGGATGCTAACAGGGGACAGTAATGGGTAGTTAAGCAAAGAAATGTACTGAAATCATCTATAGACTAGAAAATTGAGAAACTGGGAGCTTTTGTATAATACTACTGTGTTTTCAGAGCTCCCATCAACAAAACTAACAAGCTGAAAAAAAAAATATCCTAATTTTTCTGCTGAAAATCAGCTTAGGTAAACAAGAAATCTGCTGAAACAAAAATATGCATAAAAATGCTCTGGAAATGCTTATTCTGTGTGTGCTTATCTCTGCTTTTTGTTATGGTCTATGAAATTATGCCAGTAATAAATATGGATAAATTGAGTTTTAGGAAAAATCATTCAAGGAATAAGAAAGGTGTATTTTATTTTACAGAGCAGGAAAGAAAACAGTTGTCTGCAACTCAGAAATGCAATGATTATGCAGTAATGTATGAGAATGCAGAACGGTTATTTAATATTTTCTATGGTTTTGAGGTATAAGTAGGTTAGCTTTTTTGATTGTTGCTCAATTTGCCTTTTAAGTTGTATCTACAAAACTATTGAGCTCACCTACTGCAGAATATGCTATGCTTAGTATAGAGATAAGAGGTGTGAATGATGAGAAGTGTTGATAATTATTAACATAATAGCAAAAAGCATATATTCTTAAACACATTTAGAAAAAATTAAGATTTTTTTTAAAGATTATTTTTTTTCTGTCTACCTACATAATCACTAGTCATAATCTCCTATTTTTGAAGTACGGGTCTTCATAGTACTTTCTCTCACTCCATTCACCATTTTCCTTGAAATATTAAGTCCATAAATCAAGGATTACCTTGTGCATAATCTGTTTAGTATGCAGAATTTTTGACTACTGGTTACTCTTGGTACTGACGTACTAGTAAGATGATTTGGTGTACTTCTGTAGTTGCTCTGAGTCTTCTGAAAAGCCATGAGACCCCTGCTGGCAGAGAAGACTCTGAGTTTGTGAGTTTGTTCCTCCCCCCGCCCCCCCTTTTTTTCTTTCGTTTTAAATTATTTTAGGTTTTTTGCTCTGCCACTTCCCGTGCTTTTATATGGTCAGTTTTAAACAAAGATGTATGCATTTGTTACTGACACTCAAAATGTGTGATTGCCAAACAGGCGTGTAAAGCTGAACTCTTCTGTCTGACAGAGATTTGCTTTTGAATGTGTATATTCTTGTCTTTAAAGAAAAAACTGCAAAGACTTAAACTTGGTTCACGAGTGTACATAATCATAACTGATGACTTCATCCATATGGAACTGCTCCCAGTCTCAGCTGTAACTTTGCTAATAATCTTTCATGACACTTTGTTTTTGTTCCGTGGTGCCTGTACAACTGAATGTAGCACATTACAATGTGTGCTTTGTGTATTTAGATGATATAACTAACATGGAAAAAAGTCTCCAGTTAAGGTAGTTCTAAAATGGTTATCTGTTACAAAAGCTGGAATGAAGTTGGAATATTCCATGTGGTAGGCATGGATGTTACTCTCATGCTATGGCTGATCTTTTTATCCTCTCTTATTCCACTAATGGATTCAGAAAACTGCTGCTCTTCTGTAAGTTTTTTTTCGAACTATGTGGTTCTTTTAAATGATGATTGTTCATAAATGTGTGTATTTGTGGTAGAGTAGTTTTGCAGTTCTTTGTTCACGTAGAAGCTGAGAATATTGTATTGTCTGTAGATGGAAACTCCTGCAGATTGCAGAGCTAGTGTTTAAATACACAGGCACTGTTGTCTCTGTGCACTAGACTAGACCTCAAACTATTTCGTTTCAGTAGTGAAGGTATTCCCTTTTTGCTTTACTAAAGAAGCATAAGGGAATCACAGGGTTTTAAAGTTTTTTTACCAATATTATTCTTAATATTTAAGTTAAACTAGTCAACTTCAGACATTTATGCAGTGACTTGATTAATCTGGTAGGGGGAAAAAGGTATCCTCCAGAAGGTCCTTGTCTTTAGCTTCTGCCTACACTGTTTTCATCTCTAGTTCTACACAGGCGAAGCCAAGTTCTGAAATGGTGACAAGGTCATTCCTTTTAAATCAGTAATTTCTAAGCCAGAATGGGAAATGGATGGAGTATAGCTGGTGACACTAATTTAGATCAGGTCACAAAATATTTTTGTAGGAAAATAAATGAGGAGCAGAGGTCAAACATTTGCCTGTTTTCAATAGTAGTAGACTGTCTACTGTAGCTCTTGAGGCAGTCTTCTCATAAGTAAATATAAACATTGAAGAAGGTGAGTAATTAAAAAACTTGCTATAGATCTTCTGATATATTTCTGTGTGAAGGAATGGGTGCTTATAGCAGCTGAGTGATTTCCTTGTGGATTATGACATTCATCTACAACATAAGGTTACGTGCTAGAAAAAGGCATTTTTTAACCTGTCGATCAGTTGAGAGCTTAGAGTGAATTAAGTGAACAAATATAGTTGTTGTGGTTGTGTGGAGTTTGCATTTTTTTAAAGTTCTGACATGTCAAAAACTGAGCACAGATTAAAAAAATCAAAAACAACAAAAAACACACCCAAAACCAGAAAAACCCCAAACTTTATGCTTTAATAAATTAAGCCTCTTTACTAACTTTTTCTTTATTCTAATGGGGTAGTTTGAAAGATGGTCTGGGACAATCAAAGTTTCTTTAAATGTTAGCATGTTTGTCATTCTAATGGTGATTGCAGTTGAGGGGCAAGTGTGCTTATCTTTCATGGTTGAAAATGACTGAGTTCTTCCTTCATTGGCAGAGTATTCTTAATTACGTTTTCACAGTATACAGCAAGCTTTTAGAAAAAGTAACATGGATAGGCTTCTCTAGCAAGTCTTGTCATGTGTTGTCATATGCATGCAGGAGTTAATCAGTGTTCCACTTTGTTCTTTTACTGTTTATTTATAAAAGAGTTTTACAGTTGCTTAAAAATACCTGTAAATGAAGTTTTCACTGTAGTCTGTAAGATCCTGATTTTGAAATAATGTCAGTGGAGTTCAGGGTTGCGGACAGTACTGGTAAAAATTGAGATCTTAATATCTGCACTGGGAAACTTGTTTAATATTCTTTATAGAAATGTTGAGGAACAGCACAGAAAATGCTTCTAGTTCCCAACTGTTCTGCCAATAAGAATTCAAACCCAGATGAAAATAACTTCCAAATTCATGGCTAATGATACTCTAAAATATTTTTGCACAGCTAAATAAGAAAAGATTATAAAATGAGTACTTCCAAAATACTTGCAGTTATGATTGAGCTACCTGCTGCCCTGGAACATTGAATAGGAGATCTGTATAGCTTAACCACTAAGTTTCACAGAATCACAGAATGGACAAGGTTGGAAGTGACCTCTGGAGATCACCTAGTCCAACCCCCCTGCCAGAGCAGGATCACCTACAGCAAGTTACACAGGACAGCATCCAGGCAGGTTTTGAATGTCTCCAGAGTGG